CTTTCATGTTTCTCTGTTTTATTTGAACCACTGATTTACAAAACACCTTGAAAAGCGCACATTACTTTGAATACCGTCTCTTATCGCCACTTTACGAACTACTTTCAATTTAAGACATGTTTCACTCAACAATTTTAAATACGTATTTTGTTTTTTTTCGCTATTTTTCGATGTATTTTTGACAGCCCGACCGTCGCGTGTCGGCCAAGAGTGCCACGTGTGAACTGGTCCTTTGAGCCGCGCCGTCGTGGCAGGCTTGCGTCAGACGACGATGTTAAGCAACGTTGCCGTAGTTACAACAATTTCAAATTCAAGAGATTCGAAGCAATCAAATTTGTATTAAATTTTAAAAATAAAACGGAGAAACATGAAAGGAAACAAACAAAACGAAAATGAATTGATTATTCGTCGGGCTGTTTTCGATATATTGAATTCTGAATTACGATAAACAATTTAGAAATTTCTTTTTTGTGACCTTATCAATATTCAATTCATTTGTGTTTTGTTTGTTTCCTTTCATGTTTTTCTGTTTTATTTTTAAAATTTAATAAGAATTTGATTGCTTCGAGTGTCTTGAATTTGAAATTGTTGAAACTACGGCAACCTCGCATGACGCAAGCTCGACACGCCGGCGCGACAAAGAAGCACTGGGCAGTTACCAACCAGTGATGCGTGGCTGTCTTGGCCGACGGATGGTTGGGCTGTTGACGGAATTGTCGAAATACATCGAAAAAATAGCGAAAAAGCAAAATACGTATTTAAAATTGTTGAGTGAAACATGTATTTTCTTAGATTGAAAGTAGTTCGTAAAATGGCGGTAAGAGACAATAATTCTCAACATTTATTCATTCAGAAAGATATTCAAAGTAATGTGTAATGTGTGCTTTTCAAGGTGTTTTGTAAATCAGTGGTTCAAATTGTGATGAAGCCTATACGAAAATAATGTGTTAAGTTAAAAATGGGGACTGTTATTTTAGCAGTTTTTATAATAGCACGTACAAGTAAAGCAGCACAATGAAGTGTATTTTAGTTAAGTGTGTATCGAAAAAGAGAACTGTCGCAGTTACATCGATCTGTCATAAGTATATTTTTAATGTTGGGTAAGTTTTTTAATTTAACTTTTAAACATTTAACTTTTAATTTATTTTATGTAATAATATCACAATCTTAAAAATGTAATGCATCTCTGCAAACTCCTCAGGTGTTGTGATTTTATGACTTACTTGTAAACATATACTTTCTTGTCCATATGGCAACACAGTGCGTCGAATTAACTGAAATCCGGGCTTGATCCGGGTAATTGGATGTAGTTGGCAATACCTGCCGGCGGTTCTCAAAATGTTGCGATTATTTTTTTAAATTTTCAAAGTTAAATAACTCAGTTATTTTCAATTTATTTTAAAAATGGTAAAGAGAAAATATGTTTATTTTGACCAGATCTACCACCTCTTAAAATATCTGCACTCATTTCTGGGACACCCTGTATATTCTTTATATATCAGGGTAACTTAACACTCTACCGCTAATTTGCAAATCTTATAGGAACCTTTAAAGGCTATTCCCTTTGAAATGTAAAATTATATAGGAATATACTTTCAGCAAGATGGGGCTCCAGCTCACAACTTTAAAAATATGACAATTTTTAAAATAACTCTCCCAAATCAATGGATTTGGACCTAATGGACCCACACACATACGATGGCCTCCCAGATCCTCGGATTTGTCCGTTCTCGATTTACGCGCTTTCTGTGTTTTTTCTGTGTTTAGGGATTTTTGAAAAGATTAAATATGTATATCATCGCAACTTTAACAATGTCGAAGACTTGGAAAATGCTGTCAGGCAAGCTTTTAGATATTTGCAAACCTATCCCTTTATAATAGATGCCGTTATAAAAAATATATTAAGAGATTCAGGGGTAACAGTTTAAAAGCAAAATATTTTAGTCTTAAATAAAATTTTAATATTTGCATGAATATTTTAGTAAAAATACCATTTTGATTTTTTTTATTATCTATCACGGCCTACTAACGAAAACGATATATTTTAAATATTGCAGTAAATAGTAAAAAAATAAAAACAGGTCAGATCATATGATTTATAAATATACAGGGTGTTCCATTTAAGAAAATATATTAAGTTCATATCTTCAAAAATATTTTTTCATAGAAAATCAGACGTATTCTACGTAAACATTTCTACAAGAAACAGTTTTTCCCTTCTCGCTAACTTTCGCAACAACAGGGATACGGGAGGTGTACCAAATTGCAAAATTTTCAAAAAGATCCCGTAGCTCAAAAACGAAGAAGGCTATGACAATTTTGTTTACGGCATCTTCGGTTTGACAAAAAAGTGGGACAGGTTTGTGCAAACCGCATCCTCCTATCTTTACTAATAACGGAGATACCGTATGATTTCTACCAAAATGGGACACCGTGTACATAAGAAAATTAAAGATTTCAGAATTTTTTCATCCACATCATTCAAAAAATGAGCCAGCTTGGGGTAATAGTGCAGAGTGCATATCATGCATGTATGTCCTCTCGTGTAATAGTGGCAGCAACTTCAACCCCGTTCTCGTTGGCGATCGTCTGTTATTATAGATTCTTGGTACGACTTTTCATTCATTCATTATGGCTAAGTAGCATCTACCACAAGTCCTGAGGCTTCTCGCCGCTTCTGCCCCCAGATCATTTACGAGTCAAATAAGACAAAGCACATCTTTGTCATCTCTCAGTCACAGATTATTTCTCAGTTTAGCTGCAATAATTAAAAAGTCCTTGAAGGCCAGGTTTTCAACAAAATTGAATCTATCTCGCAATTAATATCTAACTACAATAGTATGTTTTTAGTAATTTCATACAGAGGTGAAAGGAAAAGCAAAATATATTTCTTGTGCACATAAGAGCATTATGGCAAGTGTTTCGAAATATATACATTTTGATACTCTATATGTATACTCGTATTTTTTTTTATTTAGAGTGATGTATTCCACGTGACGGACGATTGAATGTCAATTTAATGTATTTTTTCATCCAAGTGGGTAAATATCACATATTCTATAGAACCTAATTGAATAACTGTATACTTATTTGACATGAATTTACTAAATCCGAGGGGTGTCTCACTTTGGTAAAAAATGTACATGTACTGCCAAAATATAATGTTACTGCCAAGCGACTGCCAATGACTGCGAAGAAGACTGCCATGTAATTATTGTAGACGACTGCGGTAAGACTGCCAATGACCGCCAGCGGCTGCCAAGAAAATGTACATGTAATTCCAATAGTGAGACACCCCTCGACTAAATCTTTAATTTATGTGGTACTGAAATATTTTCTAGAACGCAATGTTTCGGAACTATAGGGAAAAATCTGAAAAAAATCCAAGAATTTTTTACCATCTTTTGGACCTCCTGAATCGAGCGGCAGTCGAGCAACCGTGCAAACCTAGAAAACTTCTCTTTCACATCAAATGAACTGATCAAATCAATAATTAAATTTCCAACACATAGGGTGATTCACGGCAATGGCACATTAGACGTTTATGGAGAAGTGGAGATTTGGTTGCTGTGTTAAATGGAACACTAAGTATGGAGTCAGTATTACTCAGTATAACATTTTTGAAACTACTTTCACATCCCATAATTTTTCTATTATATTAACCTATCTCTAATAGTTTTTGAAATAAAAAATAAAACATGTGTAAAATTAACAAAACCATGATCGTGAATACCTAAGTATTGGTAAAATCATGACTTAAACATTTTTAAAGTTGAAATTTGGATTATAAGTTTAAGAAAGTCGATATATTCGATCTGTCTAAATAAACCAATTGAATATACAGAGAGAGCAAAAACATTACATATTTCCGTTAGTTAATATTTAGTTAGTTAGTTAGTTAATATAAAATTGCTTAAGTCTTAATTAAATCGTATATTATTTAAAAAATCAAAAGACTAATAAAATTGCTTTTCAACGATATATCACGTTCCTATACCTAAATCTTCAGGTTTCTTAAGTAGAGCTATTTAAAAATTAATAATTCTATTTTTATAGTTTCATTTCAAGAATTTTGTTATCGTGACAATTTTAGAAATTTAGCACGTAAACTCTAAAGCTTTATTCAGAACCTCGCAATTAGTGGAATAAAAGTGGTTTTAATTAGGGTAGAAGTTTGTTCCTTTAATTTCAATGTAAGCATTCAGAACGTCAAAATTAGTGGTAGATATTTTCAATTAGTAGCAAAACTTATCAAACTTTTAACTTTTCCACTAATTATATTTCAAAAGTTCAGAGGAATGTCATTTTAGCCTTTGATTATCATCCGTCAAGAGAAACTGTGGTTAGAAATCAAAACTTTTTTGTTTTATATTAGCTGAATATTATAGGCTTTCTCTATGGATACCATTTGAATACCGGCTTGAATTTAAAATAACAATAATTTTAACGATTTTATAACAAACGGATATAATTATTTTTTCTGACCTCCTTGTTTGATATCTAATCAGTTGATTTAGAGAGATGGGATATATCGACTTTCCTTAACTTATAAACCAAATATCAACTTTCAATATGCCGAATTTATGATTTAACCAATGCTTATTCAAGATTCATGTTTTTGTCAATTTTACACATGTTTTATTTTTTATTTCGAAAACTATTAGAGATTGGTTGTACTATTAGAGACTGGATTGGTACAGGCTAGTATAATGAAAAATTTTGAGATATGGAAGTTTGGATATGAATAATATACCGGGTGTTCCATTTAAAATAACAAAGATGCGTCACTTTTAGTATAAAGCGGCAACACTGTAATGTTGAAAATAATTTAGACAGGTGGAGAAGATTTTTGAAAATTTTGATTTTTGCATAAAAAATCCTATCACCGGTTCTCCATAAACGTCTAACGTGTCAATAACCGTGAATTGCCCTGTATAGTGTTTTAGACATGAAAAATAAGTATAATAATTTTAAATTGTAACCAATTTTTAAATTATTAGAATCTGGTTGGACAAGTGAGCCCTTGTATTCCTCGTACTCCTACGGCACCTCCTATAACTCCTTCTAGTTATCCACCAATCAGAACACCACCAAGCGTTCCATCGGGTTCTCCTAGAACACCACCTTTACCACGTGCACCTCCGCAAGTAGAAGCTCCTTGTGTTGCAACACGAGGTTTATGTATTAAGTTATATAAGTAATAATGATTGGCTAAATTATTTAATTTGATATAGGTACAGGATCAAGAAGGATACCAGTACCACGGGCGAAACCTGATATATATACAACAAGATCTCAGGTACTTCGAATGAAGAAAATGGAACAGCAGAGAGATGCTACACAAAAGGTTTGAATTAGTTTCTCTAAAGCTTCATTCAGATTCATTTAGGACTTCGAAATTAGTACAGTGTAATAAATACTAATTTATTACACTAATTTATTTAAGTATAAAGTTTAATTAAAACCACTAGGTTTTAATTAAAATTTATACTGAAAAATTTACGATCATTCCCAGTGTCAGAAAAAATGCAGTTAAAATTGACAAAATATCCCAGCAACAGCTTGCGGCAGCCAGTTGTATCCATAGAGAAAGCCTAATAATTATTAGTTTATAAAACTTTTCATTTATAACCACAACTAATGCTAAAATGACATTACTCCCAAATTTTGAAGTATATAATTAGTGACAAAAGTTAAAAGTTTGTTAACTTCTTCCACTAATTTAAATTTACTAAAGTAAACGCCACGAATGTTTGGGAGTGATTCATCGCTTGATGAAGTTAGAATCGACACGCACGCAATCATTTTTACATTAAAAACGTAAATTGTTACCGCAGACGTAGGTTTTTAAAGGCCCGGTCTAATCATCTGCCTGCGCTCCTCCTACTTATTCTAAAATGTTAGTGTGATTGACAAAGACGATACTATATCACGTTTCTTTGATTGATTCGTTTTTGTGCGTCAGTCCATTGGTGTGCTTGCAGTGCGACCAGTGGGGCATTCCAGTTTATATTTATAACCAAATATATGTTTTGACAAGACTTTGACAGTTAAAACAAACAAATTACAACAGATTATATATTGATTATTAAATGATTTGAGACACCACGGCACTGGAATTAAGTTTTATGTGACCTTGAACAGATTAGTTCACATGGTAGCGACCGATAAATCACTCCCAAGCATTCGTTGCGTTTACTATACCACTAATTTTAACAATTTGAATACTTACATTCAAATTAGAGAAACAAACTTCTACGCTAATTGAAGCCATTAATTTATTAACATATAACGGTGATTTAAATTCAATTTTCACTATTAGGATCTGAATACGGTTAGAAAAAGAGCTATAAGGTATAGGGTAACTCAATCTGGAACCATAGTGCGTGTCAATATGTCCCCTAATTTAATCGGTTTACTAATTGAACTTGTCATTGATATTTCCAAGAATATGGTAGAGAAATTGAACTTGGGGATGTTTGTTTTTATTTTGGAATTTATTTTTAACAGTTAGAACACAATTTTTTGAGCTTTATCTGGTGGTCATGTCTAAAATCACTTACGACAGTTATTTTTCTAGAATTGTTATCAAATTCATATAGGCGCGACAATTTCTTGAATAACTGGTATCCAATTATTTATTTTTAAATATTAGCTTTTTTTGTTTTCCTGTTATTACCAATTCTGAATCGTCCTAGAACTCTGCAGCGCATGCGCAAATGAAATAATGTCTTCATATTTCCTTCTGCGCATACGCATCACAATTCTAGGACGGTTCAGAATCGGTAATAACAGGAAAACGAAAAAAGCTATTATTATATCCCAGAAACACAAAATTTTAAAGTCACAGCTTTAAAAAAATGAAAGTATATACATTTTTATAATCTATCAGCATAACACTGCCACCTTGTTAGGTCTTGTGTCGTGAAAACTACTAGTAGTAGACGAAAGCTGGATCTAGATTTATATTTTTGCATTTAGATTGTTACTAACGTATATTGTACGATACTAATAGTTTATAGATTTTGGGATGTTGCCAAGATGGCGCCTAAAATTGGTATTTCGTAAATATCTCGAAAACTATGCGTTTTTGCAAAAATTTGAGGAGAGCAAAATTAAAGAGAATAAAATTTCCTATAAAAAAGGTTCTATGAAAATTTTCGTTAAACTCAACCGTTTAGGCCCAAAATCTCTGGAAATTTTTCAATTTTGCGTAAAATATCATACCTATATGTATAGTCGATTTTCCGAAATCAAATGTCGACTCACTCAGTCAAATGTCGACTCACTCAGGGTTCACTAAAACTAGTTTTAGTTTAGTTTCTTCAATTTTGTCATGAAACAGTGGCGTATCATTAATTCGCTCATTAATTTATGAATAATTAATTTAAATTATTGAAAATGTGTATTTGTTTCCACACCACCCAAGAAGTAAAGTACATGGCGCATGGTCTCCCCGGAGGCCCACTCTACTAGGTAAATTAAAAACTTTAACTTATCTGCACAAGCCTGACGGACCTGGCTCATTGATGCCAAAGTCGGTCGTGTCTGCTGTACTGGGTTCATCAGGGTGGTCCCTCAATTTAATGAGGGATATCTACAGGTAAGTCCAACTCCTCTTCATCGGATTCGTCGAGTGGCACTTCAGTGACGTTGTCACAGGATTTCCCATTGCAGTATGCACAAGTCATTGAACATTTTAATCCTGTTTTTCTGCATCCGCAGGCTTTACCACAGTTGTTGGTTTTGCATTTACAGGATAAAAATGCCAATGTTTTTGTTTTCTTCCAACCCCATTCTTCGGCATCTTTGGTACAACCAGACCAATGCTGAACTTGGTGGTAAGTTTGCAATAAATGCTGTCCAGCACGACAATTAATTATTCATAAATTAATGAGCGAATTAATGATACGCCACTGTTTCATGACAAAATTGAAGAAACTAAACTAAAACTAGTTTTAGTGAACCCTAATCCACATTTTTACGCAAAATTGAAAAATTTCCAGAGATTTTGGGCCTAAACGGTTAACTTTAGCGAAAATTTTCATAGAACCTTTTTTATAGGACCTGTTATTCTCTTTAATTTTACTTTCCTCAATTTTTTGCGAAAAGCGCATAGTTTTCGAGATATTTAGAAAAAACCGATTTTGGGCGCTATCTTGGCAAAATGGCGGCGCCGGCGACAAGTCTGGAAATGTGCATTTTATGGATTTTAGTTAGGGATCCCAAAACATATAAACCTGCAAAATTTCAAAACTTCCGGACTTTTTTCCAAGCAGGCTCCTTTTTTTATCCCCAATGACTGAACTGTAATTAAACTTTAATCAAATTAAGTTAACGGTAAATAACTAGTAAAAGATATATCAATACAACAGATCCCATCAAACACATAAAATGTAAAAAAATGCCAAATCTCAAATGCCATCAAAAAGTAATCTTTATTTCTGTAATTATATGGACTTGGCAATTGCACGATATGATATTCTATTCTAATAAAAAAAAAACTTTATTTTTAAGGGCACTGTTTAGATTTACTTAGTATAATCGAGATGGTAGATTATTCTTTTATAATTACGGTGCTGTGTAATTGCCAAGTCATTATAATTATTACAGAAATAAAGATGACTAATATTGATACAAACAATTTATAACAAAATTGTTGAATAGGTGCTTAAAGAGAGACTAAATGAAATAAACTGAATTGGTTTATAGTGGAAGAATTGAGTTGCGAGAGTTGGCATTTTCTTAGATTCTGTGTTTTTGATGGGGGGGATCTCATTTCTTTTTGTATCTATTTTTTCTCGGGTAAAATATCGCTCAAAGTAATATTAAAGAAGTTTGACTAGCAATAATTGATTGAACATATTTTGATTTCAAAAATATGTAGTAGTTCTATGTCCAAGGAATATTGGGACACCCTGTATACACGGTGGTCCGAACTGTATTCCGGAAATTTCGGCAGCATATTCTGCAGATAAAAATAAGTAAAAAAGTTAATATAAATGTTTGTCCTAAAATGCTTAATTTCGGAGATACAGGGTGCAGAAGTTTCATTTTTATTTCGATTTTTTCCACGTCATTTCTGAAGTAACATCAATATTTGGATGAAAATTGGTGTCTGGTAGTTTTTTGACAAGAAAAATTTGATTTTGATGTCAATATGGCTTCTATTTGTAGGGGGCGCCACCTGCATGTGTTTTAACTGTTTTGGAGAGTATTCACTTTTTGTCCGTACCCGTATAAAACTACTGAGTGAAAGAATATACATTTCCTTGATTTTTTACGTACAAAATGTCTCTTGGTAAAAATCACTACGAGTAACCATTCTCAAGATATTTATAATGGATTTAGTCAATACATGTCATTATTGACAAAAAAATAAATAGGTTGAGTAGATAGTTATTTGACTGAAATGATAAATTTTGGGAAATTTTTATTTTTTTTTTAAATTAACCATAAATTTTACTTCGAAAAACTGATGATAAAGCAGTTTCTCTTGAACTTTTGGCATAAAAACATTTCAAATTTATTTCATTCTAATAACTATTTAGTCAACATGTTTAATTAATGTCAATGATAACATATATTGATAATTTAGAGTCCAAATATCTCGAGAACCATTACTCGTAGCGATTTTTACCAAGACACCTTTTATACGTAAAAAATGTTGTAAATGTATATTTTTTACTCAGTAGTGTTATACAGGTACAGACGAAAAGTTATTACTCTTCACACCAGCTAAAAATATGTAGGCGGCGCCCCCACAAGTAGAAGTCATATTGACATCAAAATCAAATTTTTCAGGTCTAAAAACTCCCAGACACCAATTTTCATCCAAATATTGATGTTACTTCAGAAATTATTTGAAAAAATCGAAATAAAAATGAAACTTCTACACCCTGTGTATCCGAAACTAAGCTTTAAGGATAGACATTTAGACGATTTTTTTTACTTATTTTTATCTGCAGAATATGCTGGCAAGGTTTCCAGAATACAGTTCGCACCACCCTGTATTTAAAGTATTGAGTCTTAAATGAGTCTTAAATAAGTGCTAATATTTTCAGGGATTCAGGGCGGGTAGATCTCGACAAAAGAAACGTATTTTCTCTTTACAGTTTTTCAAATAAATTCAAAATAATCGAGTTATTTTACTTTGAAAATTAAAAAAAATGATTTTTTGAGAACCATTGGATCTTTTCTGGATAATAAATATAAGACAATAAATCAATTTACGAACTGGCATAAATATGTGCAAAGATGTGACAAAATTTTTGCGTTTTTTGCTGCTAAATGTAGTTATATGTTTTCCACAAATATATAAAATATTTATATAATTTTATACAGTATAAATAAAGTTGTGAATCATCTTTCTCAGATCTCACCTGTGAGTAAAAGATTGCAGGAGAATCGAGCTAGACTGGCACGAATCGACGAAGACCGAAAACTAGCGGCAGCTAGAAGACAACAACAACCAAGCCAGAGAAGATCTATACCAAGACTTCGGGACGCATCATCTAGAACAAGGGCTGCTCCATGTCAATTACCCCAAGGCACGACCAGACCAAGGCCAGTTCCAACATCCGGCTTAAGACCTCCTGCAGCCGGTAGACCATCTGGCATAAGACCTCCAGCGGCCGGTAGATCATCAGGCGTAAGACTTCCAACAACCGGTAGACCATCTGCCATTAGTTTATAATAATGATGACAACCGGTTTTCTAGTCGGTGTGTAAAACGGTGTCACTATCGGTAGATGTGACCAACCCAAAACCGGTGACGACGATGCAGATAATATTGTTTAAACGATATTTTTGATTTTATTTGGATATTTTTTGGCAAAATAACTCACATTATAAATATTGCAATAATAACATCGAGAAGATTCCTTATTTGAGAAAGGTACTAACTTCATTTTTTAAAATTTTATTTTTTCCGTCATTATCAAAAAATGCATGCTTTAACATAAAAAAATCATCCAAGAACTCTGGCTTAAACTACTTATGTCAAAAAAATAGTATTATCATATTTTTTTAAACCAGCTATAAATTTTTACTGATTTTCTCAAGAGTAACAAAATGTTAGATATAGGGAAATTAAAACAACTTTGGGTGCACGTCATCAATGACACCATGCATCGTCTTATGGAGTTTGCTGGTGATCGTATTGTGATGTGCAACCAAAGTTATTGTAATTTCCCTATAGTACCTTTCTGAAATAAACGATTCCATTGCATTTATCTCACCCAGGAGGCCGAAATCGACAAAATATCTAAAGGCAGATTTTAATCTACACTATTTCTCTAATATAGAAAAAAAAAGTCAGTGGCGTACATGCTTTTTTTTAAATATTCCAGTGATAACCCATATGCAAGTGCCTTGTTAATATGGCGACACTTTTTAGCATTAAAATATGTCGCATTTATAGAATAAAAAGTTACTATAAATGCGATATATTTTATTGGAATTAAAATGTTATTGGAATCGCTAAAAATACTTGGAAGAAAATTATAATATATCAGAGAGACATGGTAACTATATGCGGTATTAACGGAGGCGTTATTTTGGCGTTTGTGCACTATTAACGTTACCGCATGCCGGTATTTAGGTGGCCGGTATTTAGGTTTATTATGCCGTGCAGTAATTTGACAGTTTCGGAACGTTATTTTATCAGATACTGTATGTTTTATAAAAATTGAGATAGCTTTTTATTGGGTTAAATTGTATTCTTTTTTAGACACACTTTCTTTTAGACACTAATTAAAACTCTAAAAAAAGAAAAAATATGAATATAAATGCTCTTTTGATTGACAAAATCGAAAACCAAGTTGAGGCTAAATTTTTAAAAGTGTTGGCATATTCGTCAAAATTAATCAACGCTATTTTGTGTTGCCGTAACTCCAAGTTTAACAAACGTTAATGTCAAAATAACGTCAGCACTAATAGCGGAATTGTGGCAGTATTGGACTTTGCCATATCTCTCTATCGAAAAAAAATAAGATTTTAATACCCTGTCGCCACGAAACAAAGCAGGATCGGACCTACGTTGATATGAAAAATAAATAATATTTTTACGTGAGGAATCTCCCCACGAGAGATGGCACAGGTTTTTTGAAACACCCTGTTTTTATTATACTCTATTAAAAAGCAATTAATGATATTTATATATTATTTTCTAAATTATTTAATGTCTTAAATAATTACTCTAGATATTAACAAATATTATAAACATGGAATATAAAAAACAGCATTATTCTATTTGCGAGTGAACCGTTATTAATTAATGGAAATTTATTTATTAAAATGTATTTTGTCACCGAGTTAACTTGGTCTTGCATTTGCTTATCACTATTTTTAGTTAAAAATGTCGTTTTTGCAGCCACGGCTAACTTGGACGTTGTCAGACGGTTAACTAATACCGTTATTTCTATTCTTACTTTCTTGATATTGACTTACAACCTTTTACTCTTTTTGTTATTTTTATAACCTACTTCCTTTATTATTTATTATAATTTAAACGTTTAATGTATACAGGGTGTTAAAAAATAGTGTATCTAACTTTGGTTGGTGATTCTACAGATAAAAATAAAACAAAACGTTCCTATGAACATAGTTTTAATAAAAAAAATATATTTTTGTTATTTTTTCAACAATATCGGTAAACCGTTTTTTTGGTACCTATTCTTACACACATTTTAATTCCAAAGCGAATGGCAATTGTAAAATTTTTACTAATAGCGCTGAAAGCATTTGAGTCGGGACTACTGATGGTACTTATTTTATTCTTGCAGGTAAAGTTAGGTTAGGTTTATAAAAAGAGAAGACATTTTTACGTAAAAAAGGTGCTCCTCGTTTAGCTCAAAAAAGTGAACGGTTTTCTAGATATTTGCGTTTGAAGATTACGATGTATCGACTTTAGTATAGTAAAATAATGATGAAATGTAAAGAAATTATAAATAAATTAATCTCTTGATTTCGCTAATACCGCATGACCGAATAAAAACGGCGTCAGCGATGGCTGTGAAATGAAGATCGCTGTCATTTTATATGTAAAACTAGCGTGTACCAGCGACTTCGTTCGCGTCGAATTAATCATTTGTAATGGTGATGATAAAGCAAAGCATGAATTTGCATTAACTTACAAACTGGATAAAATTTCCTCACATTTGTATCAGCATGAGAAAAAACAATATGGCGATATTATTATATAACTTGGTAATATTTGAGGGGTAGTTTCATCTCGTTGGAATTTGACTTTCGAAAAATCCGTTTGCCAAAAATAAGCTTTTTACGTCAAGCAGTTTAAGCAGAATGGTGGTTAAGAAATTACTCAAGTTTTTGGAACACCCTGTATGATTTTTTAACAAATTTCAAAATATGTAAAAGAACTAAATAAATTATGCTTGTCCAAGCGTTTTCCCGAAAGACTAACCCGAGGACTAACCATTTTTTAAATAACAAATATTGTAATATTTGAGGGGCGTTTTCACCCTCTTGGAATTTGAAATTCGAGAAACCCCTCTTTATCGAACCTCTACACCCCACAGTCAATCAGTTTGCCAAAAATCAGCTTTAACGTCAAGCAGTTTAAGCAGAATCGTGATTACTCGATGGTCATATTTTATGAAATACCCTGTATAAATTTATAAAAAATCTTAAAATATGTAAAACAACAAAATAAAATATACGTGTTTAAGAGTTTTTCCGAAAAACTCACCGGTTTTTAAATAAAAAATATTTTAATATTTGAGGGATAGTTTCACCCCTTTAGAATTCGAGTTTCGAAAAATCCCTTCTTATCTAACCTCTACACCTTAAAGTAAATCTGTTTGCCAAAAATTAGCTTTTTACGTCAAGCGCTTTAAGCAGAATCGTGATTAATCAATGACCTGATTTTTCGAAACACTCTGTATACATTTTTAAAAAATCTTAAAATATATAAAAAACAAAATAAAATATACGTGTTTAAGCGTTTTTTCGGAAACGACCGTTTTTTAAATAAAAAATATTGTAATATTTGAGGGGCGGTTTCACCCTCTTGGAACTGGAATTTCGAAAAATCCCTTCTTATCGAACCTCTATACCCTAGAATCAACCTGTATGCCAAAATTGAGCTTCTTAAGGTGCGTATTCACTTGCAACAAAACACTCCGAACAAACCAAACGCGCCGCGCACTCCGAACAATCTGCAACAAAACATTTTCCGGAAGCGCTCTGAACGACCTGCAACAAAACATTTTGCGCGGAGCGTTCCGCCTGTTTGCGGTGTTCGCTGCGTTCCCACCAGTAATCAGTGTTAGTGTGTTTGTCGATAAGGATGCATCTGATATTACCATAGCCGCTGGTGCTTTTTTAATTAGAGAGGCATTAGCGGGTATCAAAAAAGAGAAAAAAAGGAAAGGACGAAAAATGTGGGCAAGACGCCTCTTTTTGCGCCGTCAATATAATATGGCCTTACTTAGGCCCGTATTTATAGTTGCATCTCGAGACGCCAAGACGGTCTTGGGCTCTTGAGAGCGGAATCCACAGAATACACAAGCAATTTTGGAGATTGCTATTTTCATTTTGGAGATTGTCATTTTGGGTAGTTTATATGTGATCTGTGGATAGTTTCTTAACCCAACTTTTTTTGTAAACAAAGTAAATCCCTTGTAAATCCCTTTTGTCTGATTAAACAGTTTTGAATATGTTAGAAGAGTTTGAGGATATTTTGGACCATGTGGAAGAAGAAAATCGTCTTCGAGTTCCAAAAAGATATATACGGGATGCAGAAAATCCAATAGAAATGTTTAGCGAGGGGGGATTTATGCCGATATAGGTTTAACAAAGCTACAATTACAGAAACTATTTTACCTCTTATAAATTGAAGACTTGCAAAAACCTACCAATCGTGGTTTACCCCTTCTCCCCGTTATTCGATTCCTAATTTGTTTACAGTTTTATGCGACTTGTAATTTTCAGATGGTAAATGGAGACTTGCGTGGTGTTAGCCAACCTACAATAAGACAGATAATCAAGAATAATGCAATAATGTGGAAGTATTTCAAAATTGCAAAAGTTTTTTTAGTCTAAATGTTCAGGTCCCAAAAGGGAAATTATGGTTATTATAGTTGGATATCCAGGGTCAAGTCATGATAGTGTTATATTCGATCCAAGTAATTTAAGAATGCTAATGGAAAGGAGTGATATTCCTGGTTTACTTCTTGGAGACAATGCATATAGATGTAGGCCATTTCTATTGACTCCTGTTCTACAGTTAGGTAATCAACAAGAAACCAGGTATAACTTTGCCCATAGAAGAACATGAAATGTTGAAAGGCTATTTGGGACTTGGAAAAAGCATCTTCCATGTCTCCGAGGTTTACAAAACAACTGTTGCTATTATTTGTGCAACAGCTGTTCTTCATAATATTGGTTTAAGGGAAAATTTAGATAATTTTGAAGATGCTAATTTACACATTCCAATTATAAATAAAAAGGAAGAGGGTTAGATTTTTGAAGAAATCTTATATTCAACATTTTGCAAATTAATGTATTTATTGTATTAATATATGTATATCTAGTAATTATGTAATATGTTAAGTAATGTTCCAAGGTAACTAGTACCTATATAATAATTTTATTTACTTTTCTATTAGTGTTAAGTTAGAATTTATATATTTACATGTAACATAATTGTAAGTAATTCCTTATAGTCTTTTATTAGTTATCTTAAAAATACTGTTTTTCTATACTTAGATAATATATGATTTCTTAGTAGTTTTACGCTCACTATGACCAGATAGCTAAGTGCTTGTTTTAACTGGTCACACAGAATTTTCCCATAAATACATTAAAACTAAAAAAATTGTCTTTTTATTTTCATCATGAATATTTACATAAATATATCACATAATATACAATATTGGATGTATACACCGTATAACCTATAATTTTCAAGATTTTATTGCTTGGCGTAAATTCTGTATTCTTATTGAGTTGACCACTCTATATAAAGTTGATACTCCATGTTTTATGGTTTTATTTCAAATAATATTTCACAATACACATTCTATGATTATTGCGTTTTTACTGCTTCCTTATTTCTTATCGTCTAAATGACATTCTTCTCTCTTCTTTTTTTGCTAGTCTGCTAGCCTATAAATTTTTTTATACTTCCTTTGTTCCATTTTTATATGTTCTTTGACCTCTTTTCTCAATTTTTCAGGTAATCGAGTACTTTTCATTCTCGACTGTCAATAACCTCACTTGTCCATGTTGAAATAAATCTTCAATCCTCGGAATATATTCATATAATAATTCAGGTGTTTTTTCGCCAGTGAATTTATTCACTGATGTATTTATATAGTTCCTTCTATATCCTTAACATATGATAATGCTGTTCAACCATTTATGGTTGTATCACACAAATTCACTCAAATGTTCTGCTATTAAAATGGACACCCTCTTGATAATCTAACTTATTGTAGGTTGGCTAACACCATGCAAGTCTCCACTTACTATCTGAAAATTAGAAGTCACATAAAACCGTAAACAAATTAATAATTGAATAACGGGGGGAATAGGTAAACCACGATTGGTAGGTTTTTGCAAGTCTTCAATTACAAGAGGTAAAATAGTTTCTGTAATTGTAGCCTTGCTAAACCTGTATCGGTATTTAAATTCCCTCTCGCTAAACATTTCTATTGGATTTCCTGCATCCCTTATATATCGTTTTGGAACTCGAAGACGATTTTCTTCTTCCACATGGTCCAAAATATCCTCAAACTCATCTAACATATTCAAAACTGTTTAATCAGACAAAACGGATTTACAAGGGATTTATTTTGTTTTTTGTTTACTAAAAAAGTTAGGTTAAGAAACTATCCACTATCCACAGATCACATAAACTATCCAAAATGACAATCTCCAAAATGAAAATCGCAATCTCCAAAATGACGTTTGCTCGTGTATTCTGTGGATTCCGCTCTCAAGAGCCCAAGACCGTCTTAGCGTCTCGAGACGCAACTATAAATACGGGCCTTATAGTGACCTAGATTATATGCATAAGAAGAATTTAATTAATTTAATAATTAATTATTAATTTAATAAAATAGGCCGCCTTTCAAACTTATCAATTAACTGTAAACACTTTTCTCTGTTCCACTCCATAGCTAGGTACAGTTTAAAAACACCCCAAACACAAAGAACGTTCAAAATTGCCGTATCCACTGAACACCGGCCAACGAACAAATTCTTTTGAGCAAATCCCGTTTACCGACAAGCTTCGGAAAATGTTTGGCGCGTTCGATTCTGTTCGGCGCAACGTACTGACTACACAAACTTGTTACAGCGCGCGCGGCGCGTTTGGTTCGTTCGGAGTGTTTTGTTGCAAGTGAATACCCACCTTTACGTTGAATGGTTTGAGCAGGATCGTGATTAATCAGTATGTCAGTCACTTAAGGATTCAGTCATTTCATAGCCATCGTTGACGCCGTTTTTATTCGATTATACCGTACTAAAATCGTTGCATCGGAATCTTTAAACGCAAATAACTTGAAAACCGTTCACCATTTTGAACTAAAGGAAAAGCACCTTTTTACATAAAAACGTCCTAGCTTTAATTTGTATTTATTGAAATTACGGTATCTATAAGGATAAAAGAAGTACCACCAGTAGTACTCTCTACCCTAATGGAAAGTACCCTTTCAATTGTTCTTTTCATTTGTTTATGAGTCTTGAAATATGTATATGAATAAGATAATCTGTTTTTCTTTGTAAATTTAGTTGTCTAATTTGTCTTTGTAAATATATTTACTTATTGTTAAGCTACGTAAATAAATAGAAATAAAATAAAATCCTATGATGAACTGCATGGTACTATTATCTACCTTATTTATCAAGCATTAGTATTTAGCATGCTATCTGAGGAAATAAATAAAACACACATATCCATTATGTTTAATCATTATCTCATTATGTTGAATGCTGTTAGTTTAGTTTTATCCTAAATATTCTTAAGCTATGTTTTAACCCATAAGCTAACATATTGGTTTTTACGAACTGGGTTAAGATATTATGTAAATTTTGGAGAACAAACAGATGTAATTAAAATTTTGTCGCCTACCCAGTCCCACAGGCCACGAGCCGCCACTGTCGCTTTGGCATTAAAATGTGTCAATGTGTGTAAGGGTACCTAATTTCAAAAAAACTGTTTACTAGTGTTTGGGGTAAAAAACTTTGTTTGTGTTTTACAAATAAATAAAATATATTATTTTTATTTAATCTTTCGAGTGCTGTATCTTCTTCGGGAAACATTTTAGGGCATATATACATAGGAACTTTTTGTTTTAAATCTATCTGGAGAATCACCAAGTTAGATCACTATTTTTTTGACACCCTGTATATTTCATATAGGAGCCACCGAGTCCCTATTCCGAGGAGCCTGCACATCTATCATTTGCAGCGCAAGGCCAGGTATGATTATGATCTGAGCTGGTATAACAGAAAGACAGTTTGTTATTTTTGTATATTTAGGTCTGTCCAGGTGCAGGAGCCCCGTCCATACATGATGCAGACGAACAAGAATTAAGAGAATTTGAACAATTAGAAAGAGAAATGGTGGCAGAAGGTCAAGGACAGGTATTAAATTTCATATTCAAGAAATTTTCTATTAATATTTTATTTATTTAATTTTGCTTCGATTAATAACGGCACGTGTTTAATTTAGTTATTAAAATTGTTATAAAAATATACAGGGTGGTCCGAACTGTATTCCGGAAACTTCAACAGCATATTCTGCAGCTAAAAATAAGTAAAAAAGTTCGTATAAATATATATCCTAAAATGCTTAGTTTCGGAGCTACAGGGTGAAGAAGTTTCATTTTTAATTTGATTTTCTTCTAATAATTTCTGAATTAACCTCAATATTTGGATGAAAATTGGTGTCTGGGAGTTTTTTGACATGAGAAATTTGATTTTGATGTCAATATGACTCCTATTTGTAGGGGGCGTCATCTATATGTGTTTTATAAAGTCCCTAGATATATAAAGTACCGCAATTACCGCCATATTGGCGCCAAAACTAGCGGCAAATTTAAAAAGGAGGCCAACATTTCGCTGTTTCGGCTTTTTAAGCAGCTGGTCGGTCCGGCGCCAATATGGCCGACCAACATTGACAGGCGAGCTGTAAAATAAAATATTTATTAATTGTAATAGAATTACGTTTATTATCTACAGTTTACCTTCATTTTAACGTAATATCAGGTAGTATATTAATATTCAATTTCATAAATTTAATTTTTTAGGCCTATATATGTTAAGAGGTTATAAACGAATGGTTTCCGTACAAGTGTTTTTCATTTGTATTAGCATTTATTTTATGTTACCTTTTAGCGCAAAGTACGCCAACAGAAGTAAGTTAATAGGTAAGAAGAAATAAAGTTGGAATAACATTAAGCATTTTAGTACTTAATTCAGTCGAAACAATTGGAAAAACTTTGTTTGTTGATGAGAACGAGATACCTAAACCATAAGTAAACTTTCCCTATTATACCAGTTATGCTGTAGTTAGTTTTGACATATAAGCATGATTTAACGAAAGTCTTTGGAATTATGAATAAGCTACAAACTTAAATTTGAAGGCCGGCTTTTATACGAGAAAATTTTGAACCATGGTTGAAACAAATAAATGTAATAATTAAATTGATATGATACATACCTGCTATTTTTGAAATATATTAATATATTGATAAAAAGATTGTTTTAATTAGTTTTAGTTCAGGTAGTTTCGGCATTTTAGGTATGTAATTGTGCACTTAATTTAAAAATAACTTAGAAAGAAGCTTGAAATGCATAGGAGCTCTTTATATATGCTGTATAATTAAGGTTTGTGTGTTATGGAGTGATTTTTATACAACAAATTTATTATTAGTTGAATAAAAGCAAGTTAATACCACATAATACAATTAAAATATATTTTGCTCTGCAATTTAATGTTATATTTTTAAAACAAGTGTCATAATGTTTAAGTATCATTATTATAAAAAAGTTATACTGCTATAAATTTAACATTGAAATAAATTAAGTAGGCATAATTTTACCTCGACAATATGTAAAACTTCAAATGAATCTTAACAATTTTATGTCATGTATAAAAATCAAATTTAAATAACACACTTTTATTTATAACTGACAGTATAAGACCAGATTTTTAAATATAACTTTACATTCTGACATTATATTGTTTACTTTTTATTAGTAATTACAATATGAACCCAAAAATATTAATTACTATCAATAAATACATAAAAACTAATCTATTTAAGTCCATGAAAATAACTAGATAGTTAGCATATGCATAAACAACATTCTTGTTATTAGGATCAAATTTATTTGAGCTTTTTTTCATTGTTTTGATTAATATCCCTGTTAGTCCTGACTGGTAAAACCACCTGAAGCGATGTCATCCAAATTTATATAATATGTATCATAACATAACTTATTCTTTTAAATAATTATCCTTCCTTTGGTCTGATGATAATATATTGTAGATTTATCTAAATTTCTTACTGCAAAATGTTGAAAACTAAACTACACTAAACATTTTAGGGAATGATTACGTAGAGATTTCACTTACACTTGGCATCCTTTTTAAAATATATGTATGGTAGTTTGCAAGTAAGGTCTTTGTCTTGTTCTAGATTAGATTTCTAGAGGTGGATGTCGGCCTGACCCACTGCGACGTTCTCAGATCTATTGTGGTCTTGTCTTGTTCTATAATGAAGTTTTATGTACCAATAGGTTATATTATAAATAAGATTGTTAAAAATATTCACTGGAGCATAAATAAATTCAATCCACCTAACGTGTATTGAATATCGACGATGTTAGAAAACACATCAAATGTCGGCCTTTTCTTGTAATACACCTTTCTTCACTAAATATATCGACGCCTATACATTATTAACTAATAAATTTGTAGCATTTTAGTGGCTTTATAATTATTTTAAAATATGTGGATAAATATTTTTATTCTGAAATTGACAGCTTCTCAACATTTGACATGACAAATTTAGACAAATGTGACATTTAAACAGTCCTACCACTACAGTTTTTCCAGAAATACCCCATAAATCCGCCATTTTGGCGCCAATAACATTGAACAAACCAATTGCGGTACTTTATATATCTAGGGACTTTAGTGTTTTAACTGTTTTGAAGAGCAATAACTTTTTGTCTGTACCTGTATAAAACTACTGAGTGAAAAAATAAACATTTTTGTGATTTCTTACGTAAAGAATGTCTCTTGGTAAAAATTGCTATGAGCAACTGTTCTCAAGATATTTAGAATAGAATTAGTCAATACATGTCATTATTGTCAAAAATAGAAACAGGTTAAGTTATAGTTATTTGACTGAAATGATAAATTTGGGTTGAACTTTATTTCTATAAATTAATCATAAATTTTTCTTCGAAAAAATGATTGAACAGATTCTTTTAAACTTTTGACACAAAAAAAAATCAAATTTATGATTTCAATCTAATAACTATTTATTCAACACGTTTAATTTATGTGAATGATGACAGGTATTGATAATTTCGATTTCAAATATCTCAAGAAACATTAGTCGTAGCGATTTTTACCAAGATACCTTTTTTACGAAAAAAAAACCTCGTAAATGTATACAGGTTGTTAATTTGGTCATATTACTCGCGGCAAGAGCTTTGTGGTTGAAATATGGCAACCTCGGCCCGCTCGTCAAGAGACGACGCGACGGGAGGAGTCGTCAGCTTAGCTTAGTACTCATTTCGAATGTAGGCAGTGTTGCCATTCTGTTCCCCAATAAGTAACTTTCCAGTTAACAATCTGTATTTTTTTATTCAGTAGTTTTATACAGATACCGACGGAAAGTTATTAACTCTTTAAACTAGTCAAAAATATATATGTGGCGCCCTCTACAAGTAGGAGTCATATTGACATCAAAATCAAATTTCTCATATTCATGAACTTCTAGACGCCGATTTTCATTCAAATATTGAAGTTACTTCAGAAATTATTTGGATGCTTTTTGGAATCAGATCGAAAAAAGAATAATTTCTACACTCTGTATCTCCGAAACTAAGCCATTTTAGGACATATATTTATACGAACTTTTTTACTTATTTTTATCAGCAGAATATGCTGGCGAAGTTTCCGGAATACAGTTCGGACCATCCTGTATAACTTTAATAAAAAGGGATAAGTTATAATTATTACTTATTATCCATATTAACTAATTTTTAAAGAGTTAAAATAAACTTGCTTACTTTAGTTGTAATAAAGGCGGGTTCTCACTAGTCGATTTTATTGATCAATATCATTGAATCTATGTCATTGAAATAAAACAGATTAATGTGAACATTATTTCAACCATATTGTTCAATGTTTTCGCATTTCTAGAAAACTGGAAGCAGGGGCGGATACAGAAATTTATTTTAGGGAGGGCCCAAATATAAAATTATGCGAAATATGCCTTTTAGGGCGCCATTTTTAAACCAAAAGTCTAATATTTAACCCAATTTACAGATTTTAGGGGGGGCCCGGGCCCCATGGGCCCCCCCTCTGTATCCGCCACTGACTGGAAGTCATTTCTACTTTTGGTGGACCAATCGTATTGATTCAATGAAATTGAATAGTGCTTGCCCGTGAGAACAAGCTGGAACAAGCGTTCAGTCGCATCGAAGTGTTTTTCGGTGTGTGTTTCTGATGAAATAAGTAAATCAAAATGTCGTTTAAATGGAGGGATTTTCATGTTGCAAAATTTCTGGAGTTATATCAGGTAGAGGAATGTTTATGGAACTTCAAATGTGAAAATTATAAAAATATAACGCCACGAGAAAAAAGTTATGAAAATATTCGTGTTGGAATGGACATAGAATCTTTAACTTTAACCGATGTTAAAAACAAAATTAGAAGAAAAAATTAAATGTGCACACATCATACGAACGCCAGCACGCACAATTTTCTTCTTGGCAACCATTTTTAAAACTAGATTGAATGTTCAATATTCTTGAATCATGTGAACGAATTTTCCATTTATTTCTATGTTCAATGGTACAGATTAAATGAAATTGATCAATAAAATCGACTAATGAGAACCCGCCTTAAAAAAGCTTTAGTTTTCCAAGGAAATCCTAAACTATTTTGCAAATTTTTTAAATAAAATGTTTCAGGTCGACGATGCAATAATTACAATAGTTGAAGATACCTTCATTTAAAATAATTAAAAATACAATTACAAAATTTTGCTTTTTTTAACTATAAATCGAAAACGATTCGATATACCGAGGAGTTTTTGATAGGCAAATTGTAGACTAAATTTTATACGTTTATATAGGGTGAGTCTGAAATAAGTAGGTACTACAACTAATTATTTGAACCTCTAAAATTTTAGGGTTGATATATTTCGATCCCAGAGATGAAATTATCTTCAAAAAAAAACAATGTTGAAGATTTAGAATTTTTCGAAAAAAAAAATGAATTTCTTTTATTTTCAATTAAAAAATAAAGGGTATATAGGGAAGGAGCATATCAAAAACTTAGGTCGAGCGCGATGGGGACCAAAAATGGCCGACTTGAATTCCGTTTTATCAAAGCAACTCTAATTTTATTTAAAACGTGTAAAAATATGGTGTAGGGCCGTAAACTCAATAATTTGTTATTTTATTTTACGTTGTCAATAAATGTTGGCAGTTATTAACATTGTTATAAAAATATATAATTCTAATAAAAACATATAAGTTATAATAATTAGTTATTAACACTACTAATCCGATACACTACTGAAGCAGGTAAGTCAAATTGACGTATCTAAATTCTTTGACATCTAATTTTTGACAAGTAGTAAATAAAAGCAAAAATGCTAGAAAAAATATATAATTAGTTAATTTTAAGTTAATCTCAGAAATGACCGGCGACTACATGTATGTATATTATACAGGGTGTCCCAGAAATAAGTGCAAATATTTTAAGGGGTGGTAGATCTCGATAAAGGAAACATATTTTCTCTTTATCGTTTTTCAAATAAGTCCAAAATAGCGGAGTTATTTTACTTTGAAAATTTGCAAAAAAAATATTTTTTTGCTAAAATTTTGAGAACCACTGGATCTTTTCTGGATTTTCTTTCTTGTAAATTTAATCTAATACCTATGTTGCCATATTATCAAGAAATTATGTTTTTTAACTAAAAACTAAAAAAATTTCCAAAAAAAATTTCAAAAAATTTCGAATTTTCAATATTTTTTTTTCGCGAAAAAAAACTCATAGGCGTGTTTCTGGGGTTGAACTATACTACCAGTTAAAATATTTGCACTTATTTCTGGGACACCCTGTATAGTCTAAGTGATTAGTGAAAAGTTGTTCCATTATTTCCCTCGATTTTTGACCGAGATCTACCGCATGCACAACCAACTATTTTACAGTCTTTTTCGAATAATTGCAATAGCGATTTTTCGACATAGCGACAATAGCGATTTCGACAAATTCACAAAATTTCATATCAAATTGAAATATGTCAAACGAATCGTCAAACAAAACTATGAAGGATTCCCACCCGAGAGCCCCACCTCCGTCTACTATGCATGCATAGCAGTATACTCCTTCTTTAATCTTTTTATTCAAAGAGACACTAACAATTACCTAACATTTAAATTAAAAGAAACATTTTTTCTTTCTGTCAATTTTTTAATATCTTCACACTCGTCCCATCTCCCGTTGAACAGAACTTAGTTGCAAATAAATTTGAATCATTAAATTTTGTATATGTATACTCTAATGGGAGAGCGCCCACCAAAGTGACGTAGCATATGACGTTGCACATACACGGCAATGATATAGCAATAGCGTCGCATAATTTTTCAGGAAGCGCACATATAAGTGATGTGGCAGTGGCGTAAACATGTCGTCCTCAGTGGATAAAGATATGTTAGCAGTTGTAAACCTAATTAATATGAACCAAAATTAACCAAAGCGTTGCTATTGGATACACCCCGTTTACAAAAAGAGACAAAGGAACAGTGGATTTAGTGTTTTTAAGGAATCGAATATCTATCCTGAAAGATTTCAAGCATTTTACAGAATGAAAAGAGAAACCTAGAAACCTTTGATGTGCTACTTAGAAAAGTTGTTCCCATGCCAAGTCTTGTTTATTCCTTTTGGAATAATCGGCACGAGTGTGGCATAAATGCATGGTTTAGTCCCCATCAGTGAAACAAAACGTATATTTAAGTCAGGATCGTCCTTCATTTTTGTCAAATTCGACTAACGTGTTAATAGCACGTGGCGAAAAGTAGAATCAGTTCTAGTTTTGAAGCAGTGACATGGCATGTTACAGCGACAAATGACACGTTTCTGACAGCGCTACTTCAGTGTGCGCTGACACACTTATTGTCGTTTGTTCGATTCGACGTAACTTGCTAGATGCATGTTACTTGCCAGATTACGTGCCACGTCAGATTCTACGTGACTTTGGTGGGCGCTGTCACTAAGAGCGCCCACCAAAGTGACGTAGCCTATCACGTTGCACCAACACGGCAATAATATGGCAATAGTATGGCATGATTTTTCAGGAAGCGCACATATAAGTGTAGTGACAGTGGCGTAAACATGTCCTCAGAGGACGAAGATTTGTTAGCAGTTGTAATTCTAATCAATATGAACCAAAATTATCCAAAGCGCCGCTATTGGATACACCCCTTTTGGAAAAAGAGACAAAAGAATAGTGGATTTACTATTTTAAGGAATTGAATATGTATCTAGAAAGATTTCAAGCCTTTTATAGAATGAAAAAAACTTTTGATGTGCTAGTTAGATAAGTCTCAATCAGTGATACAAAACGCAAATTGTCCGGATATCAATCAGACACAGACATTCATTTCTACCAAATTCGAGTAACGTGTTAGTGGCACGTGGCGAAAAGTAGAACCAGTTCTATTTTTGAAGCAGTGGTATGGCATGCTACAACGACAAATGAGACGTTTCTGACAGCGCTACTTCAGTATGCGCTGATTCACTTTATTCATTCTGTGTTTAATTCGACGTGACTTGCTAATGCATGTTACTTGTCAGATCACGCGCCACGTCAGTTGCTATGTCACTTTGGTGGGCGCTCTCACTTAGTTAACGGATTTCAGTGACATTTTAACCGAGTATACACCTAATCATCTATATCAAGAGGTTATTAGGTATAGAAGGATAAACCGTATATCATTTGAAAGTACATATATTAGAATTCAGTATTGAGACACAATAGGCCCATTCGGACTAAGTGGAGCTTCCTTAGGCAAAGCGTGCACTGAAGTGGTAGTGACGTAAAGGAATGGCGTGAGGCATAGAAATGGCTATTAACTGGCGTGGCACTGGAATAGCGGCGAAGTGGCATGAAAGTGAAGTTGCCCACTGCAGTAGCAAGCGATGTTGGTGTTACTGCTTCATCTCATCAGTAATTTTATTATTATCGAAAATGTCATCAGCTTCAGGGGATGAAATAAACGCTCAATATAAAGAGAAAAAAAAAATTGAAGAAAAAACATTGTTATTGAGTTCATCCGTTGTGACAGAAAAATAAAATCTTTGGTATGTTTAATAACGTTCATAAAAAAGATTTGAACCTGGACGACAAGAAGTTTAAACTTTTCTTTCAAATGAAGATAGTGACATTTCGCAAGTTACTAAGAATAATATAATTTACACTTCAGATCACTGTAAAAAATATTTAAATAATATAATTACGTATTGAAAAGGCAGTTCCAGTTCAAACTTTATGTGGTCACCAGCTGCTTGCCAGCCGAAAATTAAACTTGTCGAAGACTAGTGGCACCCGAGTGATGCCACGCCTTTACAACAGACCGCTGCATCGCCACACCACTCTTTTTAGCGTGACAGCATTTCTTTACGTAGGCTTTAGCCGCTGCCACGTCACTTACTTACCAACTTGGTGGGCGCCTTGCCTTAGATTAAAACACATAAATAATATTATACTGTATAATCTTTTAGGTGTGTCCTGGAGCTACAGCACTACCTGATGATGCCCCGGATCAAAGTGATTTAAGGAGGAGATTATTTGAGTAAGATAATTTACTTGATAGAAAAATAGAGAGACCAATATTTCGTAAATATAGTAGTCGGAGGGCTAGCCATATTTTTAAAAAAGGCAGGGGTGTGCGGTCAATGGAAGCGATGGAAAACTGTGTTTGTATTTGTGTGCATTGTGTGCCTATCTTAAAGAGAATTTTCAAGTAGAAATTTTCGATATAAGACGGACATTATTAATTGTAGGACAATGGAAGATATAGGAATGGACCTAATTATTATAGCATCTTCACGGTTTTTTTTTATAAAAAGCAGGAGTGGTTCACTGGCTGCAAAAGTGTATCGAAATTATTTTGCTTTGCTTATTATTGTTCGAAAAATTTCAGCAAAATATGCCAATTCCTTTTAAATTTATGTTTGTTAATTTGATGAAATCGACATGTTTTTCTATGTAAAAAATTACTATCTTTACATAAAATTATAGAAAATGTCTAGACCTATGTGGCGGATTCATCTCTCCAAAAAAATCATATGTGGGTATTTCGCACCACAATAAATACAATGAATCCAGAACAACAAACAAAAAATGTAATATACCAAATACCATGTGAATGCGATAAATTTTACATTGGTGAAACATCTAGACCTTAAATGTTAGAATTAAAGAACATAAAGATTATTTAAGAAAGGGAGATTTTCACAAATCTAAGATTTGTCAGCATTCGTGGGACACAGGGTACAGAATAAATTTTAATAACGCCAAAATTATAATGAAAGAAGCGATAGCTTCTAAAAGAAAAATAAAAGAGGCGTTATTAATTCAATCTAATAAAAATAAATGTATTGCTCATGCATCTGTAGATGTTAGTAATGTATGGCAATCGCTTCTTTGATTTTAAAGAACATAACATAAATAAACATAACATACATAAAATTTAAAAATAATCATACAGAAAGTTTGGGGCTTTTTGGTTTTACCTTATTAAGTATTTGTTATCAGGTAGTAATTGTTAATTTTGAAGTTTAACTTGATATAATGTCATTTTAACAGAACGTCAACGGTTTCTTGTAGACGTATCTGTTTTAAAAAAGTAAAGTGTTCTCGAATAGTTCAATTTAAATATTTTAAATAGTTTTTTTTCTTTATTCTTTGTATTTTTTTTTGCTTCCGACGACGGAGAGAGATAAACTTTCCGAAATGTTAAGCATTTTTTTCTTTGTTAGACAAATTTGTATAACTGTAAACATAACTTCTGACAAGTAGTGTCCATTTGGGTTTAACGCAGAAGTGTTTACAAAAAATAACTATTTTATTTTGTAGATTTTCTTGCAGTGCAGTGGCGAAATACCCAAATAGGATTTTTTTGGAGAGATAAAATAATTATAGCTTTCAACATACAAAAGGATTACTGATACAGGGTGGCCCACCTCATTGATTATACGAAAACGGAAAGATATAGAAGCAAAATATTTTATGGGTATATGTGTGAAGGCAATGTGCATAATTCAAAATTATTTTGAAATGTACAGGGTGTGTCAGAACTAAGATCCATACCAAAGTTATATATATTTTTTCTTATGGAACACCCGGTATTTTATTTCATTTTTGGATTCTTGGACATAAAATACGGGATTAACCATTTTAGAACAAGTAAAATTTTTTATGAAGAATGCATTTTTCTCAAAATGTCAATAATAAAAAAGTTTTTCGTCTTGTAACGACAATCCGGGGATATACTGTATAATTGGACGATTTCAAAATACTGTTAACTAGGAAGTAACGTAATATAAGTTATTTATTAATATTTTTGAAGCTATCGAAACATATTTAATAATATCTTAGGATTATGTAAGTGATAAGAGAGGAAGCCAAAAATGCAGTAATATACGGGGTGTTCCATTTAAAAAAAATCATCACGATTCACTCACATTTCTTTGAGCCACCCTGTAGAAGTTTTTTTTTATGAGCGTAATGCCGTATCCAAAATGATTATTATTATTAATTAAACATATATAGATGCGGTAAAATTAGGTTTTGATTAAAAATACAGAGATTTGGTATCTCGGTAACCGTAATAGATACGAACATGGGCTAACATAAGTTGGGGCAAAGTTGCGCTTTGAAATGTTCACCAAGATGCCACCAAAAAAGTTTTAAAAATTTCAAGGATTGCTGAGTTTTTAGGAAAAAAAACGAATTTTTTTGAAAATAATTTTTATTTTTTCCTGTAGTTACTTTATAGAAAATCAAAAACCTAATTGTACATTCTCATAAACACTTTATTAGCGCTATCTGATAATATTTTTAGATTTTCAAATTAGCTGACAATTTGTGAGATACAGGGGTCAACTTATTTTTTTTAAACACGGACCTGCATTTTTTATTTCAGGTTTTGAAAGAACTCGGTCTCCTGAGTACAATGATATGCCACACTTTATATTTGTTTGTTTCGGACATTTGAACACAATTTATTTAAATTAATTTAAAGTCCGGCTCTGTTTTTTTTTAATATTTAATCTATTCATCGTTCCAAAATTGATAAGCCTTCAAACTTAACAATGACATGGGGTAAAACATTGAATACGGAAAATCAAATGCAATAAAAAATAATATAAAATAAATAATATAAATAAAATATAATATAATATAAACAGTCAAATAATTTTCCCGGAAGATGAATTGGAAATGGTAGAGTAGTATAATGGCCAGCGAGGTTCCTGGACCTGTCGCCAAGGACCAGGGGAGGGGGGGCATTATTTGGCGTCATTTGTAAAAGTGAAATCAATATTTTTCAATATTTACAATAAAGAGTATGAAATGCAGTATAAGAAGAAGATATGTTCAAAGAGTTATAAATAAAATTAAACGAATAATAAATTTGTGCAATAGGTGTGGTAGCCCTTTCGAACATGTAGAGCATTAGAAAATAGTTTTTAGAAGTTGATTTATTTATCATAACTACGATTAATATTATGCATATATATTAGATCGTACACTGAGATTTCAAATTTCAAAATAAAAAAAGGTAAAAATAATATCTTTAAATTGCTGACCTGGATATTATTTATTTGAATCTTTCATTTGCCTCGATTTTCCTTATTCAATGTTAATTAGTGCTGATCAATATTTTTACAATGAATGTAATCAGATTAAGTAATTTAAAAAACCATAGTCGGACTTGAAATTATTTAAATAATAATTAAATAGTTTTGTTGTTTTTAAGGTACCAAAAACAAAAAAAAATATAAATTGTGGCATATCTGAAATAAAAATGCTGGTCCGTATTTAACAAAATTAAATTGGCCTCTGTATCTCATAAATTATCAGCTAATTTGAAAATCTAATGGTGCGTTTAGACTTGAGCACGCACGCACTGATCCTCCGCGAATGCTCAAGTGTAAACGGCTGTGCGAGCAGGCTCACTCTGAATCTGTCTGTGCGCGAGCAGCCGCGAACGTGAGCCGTCTGGTGTCGGTTTTTGGTCCGTGCTCAAAGGGATTTTATGTGTGCGCGAACGCTCAGTTTGCACCGGCAATTTGTTTTGTCTGCGTTCGTGCGTGCGTGTATGATTTTTTTTCGTTTTCTTTATTAAAATTATGGAGTGGAGCAATGAATCTTCGTTATTATTAATTGAAAAATATGGAAAGCATTCTTTGTATTATTAAAAAATAAAAAAAAATCGCATGGCAAGATCTTGTAAATAAAATTAATATTGAATATGTCGATATTAATGAAATTGCTATTCTAAAATTTGTAACGTTTGTTCGTAATTTTTGGTGTTATTAAATTTTGTAAATATTCAAAGTCGTGTCTGGTCATTCTTGTAAAGTTTTTGAACTGATCATAGCCCTCCTCAGACACTAAGTCGTTGCAGTAAATTATATGGATTTCTAAAAATTTGGGTTTGTCACCAGCGACGATGTTTTCGATTTTTCTCCTTTTTAATAATTAAGCTGTGCATAACAATGACTGCAGCCTCGACTATTTCTTGGTCGTCCATTATTTTCGCCAACACAACTCTGCTGTGCGCGCATAAATGGATCACTTCATTCGTCGAAAAATATATTTTTAATTTGAACGGAGCCGAGAGCGCGAACGAATGCCGTGCTCAAGTCTAAATGCACTATAAGAATAATATCAGATAGCCCTAATAAAGTGGCTATGAGAATGTGTAACTAGTTTTTTGATTTTCTCAAAAATAACGACAGGAAAAAATAAAATTGATTTTCAAAAAAATCCGTTTTTTTTTAATTTTTAAAACTTTTTTGATGGTATCTTGGTGAACATTCCAAAGCGGGCAACTTTGCCCGAGTTTAACCATGTTCATATCTATTACGGTTTCCGAGTTACCAATGCTCGTACCTCGAATTTGTCGCACACTGTATAGTTACAGTTTAATTAATTTCTCAGTTACTTTCTTGAATATTTTAGTTTCTACGTTGCTACAGCTCTACTTAACTGACGTATGTTCGAAAGTACCTATTTCTATACTTTGGCGCTCAATTTTTTCGCTTTTGGTGCACTCCTGGAAAGTGAATGTTTTTTGGGTTTATATTTTGTTGATTCCCTGGGCTATTATTTGCATCCTATAAAAGTTCATAAATAAATTTATAGTTTCTTTTTTGCCACGTCCGGATTTTGCCCGGATTTCAGAGTTCATTTGTCCGGATTTTTTATTTCACTTGTCTGGAATTTCCAAAAGCCTTTATGAAAACCCTAAATATGGCTAGCTTTCAGTACTACAAAGTGTTCCAAAAATGCACGTTTTTAATTGCAGTGAATTGGTTTTATTTTTTTCGAAAACAGTTCTAGATAGACATATAATAAGAAAAAAAAAGTTGAATTTTAAGTCACTTTTTCTAAAAAATATAAAAATTACAAGAAAAGTCAGTGGCGTACATTCTTCTCTCAATCATTTTCTATAAGGTGATGTCCCTGGGACACCCTGAAGAATTTTAAATTATGCCATTATTACTAGAAGCATTGACAAATTTCGAAAAAGTCGATTACAGGATATTTAAGATAATTGCGAAAAAACTATTATTTTTTAAGTTATTATCAAGTACCTATAAAACCACGCATCTTCGAATCCTTGTTTATCAAACTTTTTTATTTTTTTTTGAGTGGAAATCACCTCCTGAAATCTGGCTGTGCATTTTTCGGACACCTTGTATACTCGTACTCTCTATTATTCAAAGACGTCTGCCGTTCGCAGCATTAATTTAATTTAATAGTAAAATAATACAAATTAGTATATTATTAGAAAAAACAATAATTATTATATTGTAAAATGTTTTAGATATTCTTAACTATTTTTCTTAATTATTTATATGTTTTTTTAAATCATATTAAGTAACAACGTATGTGACGATACTCAATAATATTAAAGTCTTGCATTTGGGGGTTGAAACCTATTATGTTAAAACACCAAGTAATTCACCACAATACACCAAAACACTTCAACATGGTTAGCGAAACGTGCGTCCAGTGTTTAAAGTAAAGTGTTTTTGGTGTATTGTTGTGAATTAGTATTTTATTGTGCTACTAAATTCTTATTTGTATGTTGTTATTAATTAGGAGTACAAGTACTTATATTTTGCATATATAAACACATACTAGTCATTTACTAATTAGTTTTTCTAAAATATTTAGACAACAAATGGCCATACAAGGACCTCCTCGCACAGGGCTTCAATATCCTGCAGAAGGAATTACATATTCGCCACAAAGGCCAATGGAAACGTTTGGACACATACCGTAAGTTTATCCCCCCATCCACCTCTGTCTCTATCTCTAAAATTATCATAATGTTAGATTTTAAGTTAAAGTTTTCCCTCCCCCTCCCCTCTTTCCTCTATCACTTTATTTTTGGGAGGACTTTTTTTATGACTGAAATTTATTTTTTGTATGGTATCGATTAAATTAAGCACGGACCACTTTGTAAATTTTAGCGTTTGGTAGCCATTTTGTAATTTAGTGACGACATTTGTGAGAATACTAGTCTCCGCAATTAATTAACAATAAGCTTCATAAAAAGCTTAAAAAATAATTTAAAATCTTAAATCAATATTAACCTAACTAAACAAACGAAACACTTTTGTATAAAGGTAAATTAAGTGCAATTTTTCTATATCCACGGAATATAGAAATTTCCTGTATATTTTGTAGGCCTGCTTTGGAAAAATAAATTCTCCTAATTTTTTTTTCTCAAAAACTATGCGATATGGCTTTATTTTTACAAGAGATAAAAAATGTGATATATATTAGAGGGACCATTTATACGAAAAGAAAATCTGTCGTTGGTTGAGTTGGAAAATAGTTATACTAAAATTTATGTAGGTGTTGGGGTAGTTTTCTACCTTCCCGTACCTTTTATTGATTTTTGTGAGAGTCAAATGTTAACGCAGCTAGAAAAACATAGACACCCAAAATCTCATTTAAATCGGAATAACGGTTCTTAAAATATCTGAAAAGAACAGTTTGGATTTCGTAGCGGACTAGGCACACGTGAAGTCCTGTTTTGCATGAGACTATTGTTACAAAAGTGCTTCGAACTTCGCAAGAATATCGATGTGTGCTTCATCGACTTTGAAAAAGCATTTGATCCAGTCAAACATAGAGAGCTCTTTCGGCATCTGAGATCGTATAACGTAGACAACTATGACATGGGCCTTTTAGTAAACTTACACTACAATCAAACTGCTGCTGTTAGGGTTGATGAAGGAACTACAAATGACATCCCAATAAAATGAGGAGTAAGACAGGGGTGTGTTTTGTCACCGTTATTATTCAACTTGAATTCAGAGAACATTTTTCACGAGGCTTTATCCAGCAGAACAGAAGGCGTTAAAATTGAAGGCGAGATAATAAATAACGTAAGGTTCGCAGACGACACCGCCATTGTCTTGACAATTGACTTGCAAACGCTGCTAGACAGAGTACATGAAGCTAGTTGCAAATGGGGTATTAATATAAGTATCAAGAAGACGAAATGGATGTTTCCGAACAAACAAAAAATGGAATACCACGCTTACTAATAGAAACCTGTCAAACCCGATTACGAACACTGCGTTTTTACATATGGTCCACTCTTCTTTACGGATGCGAGACATGGACGCTAAAAGTCGAACATATAAATAAAATAGAAGCTTGTGAAATGTGATGTTATCGGAGAATCCTTAAGATTTCTTGGACCGAACATACAAGCAACGAAGAAGTTCTAGGACAGCTCAATAAAAACCGGGATCTCTTAACACCACCATCAGGGTCAGAAAGGTTAGCTACTTCGAACACGTAATGCGAGACACCAAATACCATGTTCCTCGTTTGATCATTCAAGGAAAAGTCGAAGAAACTGTCATGGCTGAGAAACATGCTGGACTAGCCCGGTCTGGGGGTGGAGAGGCTGTTTCATGCAGCAAAAGATCTATTCAACGAAATTGTCATGAAGATCGTCAACGCCTAAAGAGACGCACGCAAGAAGTAGATAGCACCGCAAGAAGAAGATATGACACACCCTGTATAAAAGTTAAAAAAACTCTCAACAAAAATGTCAATCTATGGGGAAGCGTTTTTTCGAACACACTTTATTTATCCATTAGTCAGTTTGTTCTGTCTGAGGGATAAACACTGTAGATCTTACTAATAATTTTTTACCCAATTTTAAGACCACGTCCAACAAGACCACCCTCTCCATGTGCCGTTCCCTATAGTCCATCCCAGGAAGAAATGGCCCCTAAATCTCTGCGAAAACATATAAAAGCGACAGCTGATGCTCGGTTTCATCCTGGTAATTTGTATACAGGGTGGTCCAAATTGTATTCGGGAAACTTTGACAGCATATTCTGCAGTAAAAATAAGTAAAAAAGTTAATGTATGTCTTAAAATGCTTCAGAAGTTTCATTTTTATTTCGATTTTTCCCAAATAATTTCTGAACTAACGTCGATATTTGGATGAAAATGGGTTTCCAGGAGTTTTCGACATGAGAAATTTGTTTTCGATAACAATAATATGACTTCTACATGTAGAGGGCCTCACCTGAATATTTTTAACTGATTTGAAGTGTAATAACTTTTCGTCCGTATCTGTATATAACTACTGATTGCAAAAGCATACATTTCCATCGTTTTTTGCGTATTAAAGGTCTCTTGGTAAAAATCGCAATGAATAATGGTTCTCGACAGTGGCGCATCCAGAGATTGAGTCTGGGTGAGGTACTGGCAATGGCAATATTTAAATAAAGTTATTGATTTAAATTATTTTCGCTCAAAAGTATTGTGACTATGGAAAAAAATTAATTTAGATTGTTGTGGATTTCTATTTTGATTGATATTATTAATTTAGTTTGTAACAATTTTATTTTATATCAGATTTTCTTATTTATAAATTTCTTCCTGGGAGGGGTAATTACCCCCATTACCTCTCCCGTATATGCGCCCCTGGTTCTCGAGATATTTGGAGTCGAAATGATCCATACATCAATACATGTCATCATTGGCAACAATGCACAGTGGTTCCCAGATAGGTCATTACTTAGAAATATTAATTTCAAAATGTTTGCATGAAACTGTTGCTAATACTTTTCTTATATTCCTCTGTAAACGATACATAATAAATAACAAAATCAAGTAAGCCTAGTGTAGCGCTTTTTTTTATTAGAAATGTCACATTTTTGCTACTGGTATCAAGCTGACATAGACAGTTTTCAGATAACCCTTATTACTTATTTTATTAAAATTGATAAAAACTGTTGCCTTTTCTGTAATGGACGAAAAGAAGGTAAAAAGAACTTTGTTCTTTTTTGCACTTAATTAAACCTAAGTAATATTAGTTTGTGGCAATTTATTTGAAGGCAACAAAAATAGTACTTTTACATTTTTGCTTGTCACTCTTTAAGACTTTTAACTACTTTCCCTTTCAAATCCTCTTAAACGGCATTATATTACTTGTTGCTTAACGTATATTGCATATAAATTAATTGCCACTGGCTGCCGCGAATTGCCGCCGAATCTTATACCGGGTGGTTATTTGATTTTTTGTCTTAAAATAAAAGTAACTTATTTTTTCGTCTTTGTGTGAACTTATTTCGTGGACACATCAATTGACAATAAAATTGTATTTATAAAATGAAACAACTGTCTCTTTGTATATATATATATCTAGATATATATATATATCTTCAATATGAAAAAACATGTACGTATGTGTAAACATAATCTGTATACCTACCTTTCCGAATAGTTAGAACTTAAAATGCAAATCACATCGAACTGGACCCAATTTTTTTTTAATACATATTACATTAAGTTTTTATATACATTTATTTAGCATTTATTATCAATTTCTATTAAAAAGTGCAGTCAAGCTATATCTAGATATCTAACAGTTATGACCGCGCAGCTAATTAAGGGAACCACTGCAATGTGGGTCCTTGCACGTGTAGGGTAAAATTTAAATATTTATGATTTCTAATACATTTTTACCTAAAACATATACAGGGTTGTTTACCACATACGACATGGAGTATTGTAACTAAACGATTAGATTTTTATAAATTGTAAGTTTTGGGTTTGTTGAAGGACTATTAGAGCTACAAGGTTCTAACATGTGTATGGATACATGTGTTTTAACTATTTGGAAGAGTAATAACTTTTCGTCCGTATCTATATAAAACTGTTAAGTATTTTAAGAGACTAAGTTTTCTTCGAAAAAATTATAATAAAACAGTCTCTGTTGAACTTTTGGCACAAAAATATTTCAAATTAATTATTTCAGTCTAATAACTATTTAGTCAACATGTTTTAATTTATGTCAATGATGACATGTATTGATAATTTCGATGCCAAATATCTCGAGAACTATTACTCGACGTACGCGATTTTACCAAGTGACCTTTGTACGTAAAAAACGTCGTAAATGTATTTTTTTAATCAGGTGTTTTATACAGGTACGGACGAAATAGTTATTACTCTTCAAACCAAAGTTAAAAAATATGTAGGTGGCGCTCTCTACAAGTAGGATTTATATGATTACTAGAATCAAATTTTTATGTCAAAAACTTGTCCAGAAAAAGTCCAGAAATTATTGGAAAAAAAAATTTAAATAAAATGAAACTTCTACACCCCGTATCTCCGAAAAAAACATTTTAGGAGCATACATTTATACGAAATTTTAATTGCAGAATATGCTGCCAATGTTTCCCGAATACAATTTTGAACCACTCTGTATAAAACAGACTTCTATTAAATTATTCTAACTAAAATTGAAGTTATTAAAGCATTGTTTCTGGATGGCATTAAGTATTTATATTTTAGGACAACGTAGAGATTTGTCTCGGGAAGACCGTCGAGTAATGAGAGGACCACCATTGTCAATGCATAATATACCCGAAAGACCAAACTGATGCTGTATGTTAATTATAATTACAAGGTGTCCCAATTGGAATAGCTCTCGGCTGTATTCGGAAAGTATTAGCTGTAGAAACGGCCGACTATGTAATAAAGTTAAATAATGCATTTTTACCCCGTTTATGAAAATAAGTATTTTAGAAAGCTCGTAACAAGGAAAATAAAATAATATACAAAATATCGTATTTAAAAAAACATATAAGTTTTAGTCAATTTAAAAAAAGACAGATTCCAACGAAGAAATAGTTACGTCACTACATTCTACGTGAAAAACTGTACGGGAGACCGTTTTCACCTTCTCGATAAGTTATGATAGAAAGGGGATCGAAAAATGCAATAATTTCAGATTCGCCCTGTATTTTAGGAAGTAAGAGAGCTAGGACATATCTGTATGTAGCATCTTTAGTTTGACAAAAAAGTAACAGCGTAATGTGAAAACCGCATCTTTGTATTTCGACTCTTAAACGAGAAACCCTGCAAAACACACGAAAATGACACCCTGTACAGACATACTGCCAAAGCAAGAAATCAACTACGAATGAAATCCAAGATCGATTTATATATTTTAATATTTTTTGTGTTCGTGACAATTCCTTTGCTACTTTCGAGGAAGTAAACGGACGAAGTAGCGTTTTGACGAAGGAGGAAGGAACACACAGTCGCATAAAATCGACATTTTCCCATAGTAAATATATGATTTTTGGACGAAGGGACGCGAGAAAGGAACGAAGTGAAGTAGCGAAGTGTGAGTATGGGGCTTTACTCGACGTACGCGATTTTTACCAAGTGACCTTTTTTACGTAAAAAACATCGTAAATGTATATTTTTTTATTCAGGTGTTTTATACAGGTACGGACGAAATAGTTATTACTCTTCAAACCAGTTAAAAATATGTAGGTGGCGCTCTCTACAAGTAGGATTTATATTGATATTAGAATCAAATTTCTTGTGTCAAAAAACTTGTCCAGAAAATAAGTCCAGAAATTATTGGGAAAAAATTGAAATAAAAATGAAACTTCTACACCCCGTATCTCCGAAAAAAAAAAAACATTTTAGAGCATACATTTATACGAAATTTTTACCTGCAGAATATGCTGCCAATGTTTCCCGAATACAATTTTGGACCACTCTGTATAAAACAAAACAGACTTCTATTAAATTATTCTAACTAAAATTGAAGTTATTAAAGCATTATTTCTGGATGGCATTAAGTATTTATATTTTAGGACAACGTAGAGATTTGTCTCGGGAGGACCGTCGAGTAATGAGAGGACCACCATTGTCAATGCATAATATACCCGAAAGACCAACTGATGCTGTATGTTAATTACAATTACAAGGTGTCCCACTATGAATAGCTCTCGGCTGTAACTCGGAAAGTATTAGCCGTAGAAACTGCTAAAGTAAACTATTTATAACTATAGAGGTCATGAGAAATTATTTTCAGGTTTGTAGAATGGCCGCTAGAGGGTGATACGTACTATAAATAATAGCGTCATAATCTTAAGAGTCCATTTCACGAGTCCGAAAAAGCAATGTAGCAAAATAAGTGTTTGGCATTCAACGTTTTATGTAAAATTGGCCAAGCATTTTTACACAAATGAAGAAGGAAATTAAAGATGAATGATTATACTATATTCGTATTGGTAGCGCATTTTTCGACAACTTCTTTATTTTTAGATTTTGATGGTCAAACATCAAAAAATTATTCCTTATGTTTGGGCTAAATTTTCTCGAAAATAAAGACATAATTAAAATTCCGTTACAATACGGAAATAGATTAAAGTTTTGTAATTAGAGTGATATATAATTTATATGGTTTTGTAATAAATTGCACGCTATTTTATGGCAAATGCTGAAGCTCTGTAAACCTTAATCAAAGCACGTGCGTTTGGAATTTTGGGTGTGGTTTAACATGACAGGATCGTTCTAAGCCTTAGGCAGATTTCTGAAATATAAAATATATTTCCTTCGGCCACACACCCGCTATACCCGACCCCTGAGAGCGACCCAAACAGTACAGCGTAATACACTCTTAAGAGAATTTCGGAATTTTTTGTTTTAACAATTTTGTCTATTATGAAGTAGTGGGGGAAGGTTAGAGATATGCTTTTATTTAAATGTTAATAGCAATTGTAGTCCGGTCAATTTAGCTATAAAAATAGTGATAAAAAAAGCTGAATTTTGGTAGACACCTTGGTTTTACCATTATACAAGAAAGTCCCCATTGATCCCACGTCTGCTAAAAAAGTTATTCAAGGTCAAATGTCAAAATTTTAGTGTTTCTGGATTTTTCTCGTAAACGGTAAGTTTTTTTCAAAAAAAGTGCTCAAACCAAAATTGTAGATTATAAAATTATCTACAATAATGGTCCTTTTACTTTTTTTCTTAAGAATTACCACTTCTGAGATATTGCGATTCAAAATATCTATCGAGTTATATTACATTAAGTATACATACATTTCCACGCCACCAGTGTACTCGGCACGTTTTTTAACGTGGTTTTCCCGGTAGGCCTATTTCATTAACGTTTTTGACGGAGTTTTATGGGACAATCTTCTAATTATTTTATTCTAGTTATTGATTTCTCTTGATATTTTAATCTGATTCATAACTTTCGAAATCAACTTTAACATTCATGTCTTTAATTTCTTGTTCTCCTTCTGTGTGGCATCACATGAATCATATGAATCATCATCACCAGTATTTACATCAACATTCGAGCAAGACTGGCCTAGGTAATTAGTACACCCTTGTAAACAAAGTAATCCTACTTTTCTGCCATCCACATTTAGCACTACAGCCTTTGTCCAGTTGCAAAAAAATACTATAAGTAGTTTTTCCGGAGTAGGTAGCAGTAAAGTTTGAAATGGTTCCAAAGTATTATCAGTTAATTTCCAACCCCAGTATTTTGGGTTAAATTGATTGCTTAGCCGGTAGACTCGATACAAGTATTGCTGAGCTGAGACTGATGTCAGAGGAAGACAAGATAGCTGTATTTGTTTATTGTATATTGTTACGGATTCCGTAACAATATTATTTCTTTCCGTTCTGCTTCCGTTTCTGCCATCTACTAGTAAATTCTATTGTCTGATTCGCTTACTTGTCGACTTGATTAAGAGATGGCGCCTAAAAATGTCTTTTACTTTCTGGTGAATTCGCCAGGTTTCCCAATACACGCTGCGGTTTAGTTTGCCACATACACCTTAACAATATGTTTTACTAAAGAAAAATATCTGTACTTGTCTATGCAATTGATTTCCGTAAGGAAGCTCCATAAACACCAAAAAGAAAGCGAAATCCTGCTGTGACTACCGATTGAGGAGAAGAATCAATTTCTTTAAATACTTTAGCGATATCAATCAAATCTTTTTTTTTTAAATATTTGTAATACTCAACCTCTTTCGAAAATTGTTGATGTAGTATCACAGCCAGTTATCGCATGTAAAAATAAAATATGGTTTTGCGATTTAGGATAAGCAGATAAACTTTTTGAGAAATATATTTTAGTTCACTGTTAAGCTTTTCTAGGTTTCAAAAAGTAGATAATTTTATTAATTGTAGTCCGTGCAGTGACTAGTATTAGCAAATCAACATCTTCGCCAATCGCCAACCATTATAGTTGTATTTGCTGCATTAAATTGTTCTATTACTCTTTGAACTATGAGGACATCAGCGTCATTATCAGCTTGTTTCACTGAAATATTTTCAGACCTCTTTAGTTATAAATATTTTTTTCTGTAGGTTCTACGACTAATACTTTCCGAGATACAGCCGAGAGATATTCTTAGTGGGATACCTTGTAGGGTACATACATCAAAGTTTAGTATGCATTAATGTTATTTTAACTTTACAGGCTACGACATTTATGGGGCCATATATGAGACCCTCTCAAAAACAAAAACAAAAGGAAATGGAACGTATCGGAAGAGATATTAAATTTTATAAATCAGATGCTGGAAGGTAAGATAGCTTGTTATAATAACATTTTTTTAAATGTTGTACATGGAGTTGAATAGATTTAAGCTTCATTCAGAACCTCGCACTTAGTGGAATAAATTATTGGTTTCAATTACACTTCACACTTTTTAATTTACGATTATTCACAATGTATCTGAAAACACAATTAAAATTAATAGAATATCCTAGCAACAGCTTCCTGTTGTCATTTGTATCTATAGAGGAAGCCTAATATTTAGCTTATAAAACAATAAACTTTTGATTTTACTCTACTACTTACTTTTGAACTCTAACCAAATCTTGTCTTGATGGATGACATAGATAAAAGAAACAAGTTTAGATTGGAAAGTGCTCATAAACACAATGTAAATACTATTTGGCGCTATTATTACAAGGTTACTTTTCAAAGCTTTTGATAATTTCGGAGCGCTGCGGCATTTTCCGGAATTATGTCACCAAATATTTATTCAAATTTATTATTTTCTTTTAATTTTTTAAATAAAATACAGTGTGTGTTGCACGTAAGAAACTTTATTTTATATAAGGACATGTATGAAATACCTATGAACATTGGAAACCGACGTTATGCCACGATCCACGATGACTTTTGCAGTTCACACAACTTTTTAAGTTTTTAATGCCACTTTTTCACAATTATGACGGGTTTGAGTTAATACAATTTAAATGAAACTCACAAGATGGCAATAATAACTTTGAAAATGGACGCTTTAAACACTTTTCGGTATTTTTTCAATGAGGGCGGTTTAAAATTTAAAAGATTTTATAATTTTTGAAGATTCTGACTTTGACAAGAGAAAATTATTTCTTTTCTTGTTTAGCGGTTGTTCTTAACAACCGCTATAGCTGCGCCCTACAACGTATGTGCTCCGAAACAATTTTAAGTTAAGGCGGTAAGCCGAGCATTCCAATCTAAACTTGTTTCCTTAATCTATGACGGATGATAATAAAGCCCAAAATGACATTTGCCCCAATTTAACCATCTTCGTATCTATTACGGTTTCCGAGATACCAATGCTCGTACCTAAAATTTGTAGCACCCTGTATAGTAGGAGTAAATAAATTTATTTTGCAATAATTATTCAAAACAAATATATTAGACAAGTTATGGAAATGGAACGACGACATGGAATGCGAAGAGAGCTAGTCGCACCTTGTAGTCCAGTAGGAGAAGAAGACCATCCTTTTGATGAGCCTATTCCTAGAGGTAAATTAATTATATTTACTGTATTAAATCGCCTTACTTATGACACAAGAGTATTAACATTGCATTTTATTACATAATTGAAAACCATATGGTTTAAAACAAAAGGTATTAAGATTGCCAAGTTGCAATCAAATAAAATAATATTTTGGCAATAGATAATTAAAACAATGTAGTTAACAGCACTAAGTATCTATATTCTGTTTATCATAAATTATATAAGAATTCTTGCCACTTAACTGCTGATATAGAAATTTAATTCTACGCTGTGTTTGTCATAATGTGGATCAACCTGCTCTCACTACCGGTTTCGGAGCCCTACTCCATCATCAGGTGAGCTTGGGCAGATCCACAAAATGACAACTACAGTGCAGAGTAGTTAATTCCGACTTGTCGGAAAGTATCGGTTAGATATTAAGTCCCGAAAGGGAGATTAACAACAATTATATAAAAAGTATTTCTACAGTATGACTCTAAATGGCAACCAATAACAATATTATTTTATGTTTCTAAAGAGAGCGTTTAATGTATGTAATAATAAACTATAATAATAACAATTTCCACTCCAACAAAGACCCTCCACTGTCGATAGTGTTATGCAGCAAAGTGCTGGACCCAGACGTGCAGAGAACCAACAAAAAAAGCGCATGAAATGGGATAATAATACCAATAAAAAAGTCATGCGATCATATTTTTTGCTTTTTTTTGTGTTCTGCAATTGTCCATGTATGTTCTATTTGTAATTTTAATGACTTACATTTTTTTGAATTGTATGATTTGTATTGTATATTTTTTTTGTGCTTTTGTTTGTTTTGTAAATGCTTTTTCGACGAAGTTATTTTGGCATTTTGCACAATAAAGCGTTATTTGTTGTTGTTGTTGGTTTGTTTTAGAGTAACATCTCTTGAATTTGATCTGACAATGTACAGGCAAAGAATGCATAAAGACTTTACGACAGCTCTTCCCCATTAAAAGCATTTATCAGAACAAAGAATAGCAGACCAAAGACGGGCTATTGTTGCTAAGAAGTTACTTCCTGGGTTGATAATTAATCGTTGTATAATTGGTAGAGAACTTGGATGGGGAGGGCGACATAAATACCGTAGATAAAGAAGCAGACAATAACTATGAACCTGATGGCCCACCACATGGTCTTACTAATGGCAGTATTGACACCAACACCAACCAATACCCAATACTGATCCAGAAGAACCTAATCCAATATCGCGGCTCAGATCCACTACAAAGACCGCGCATACCTGTGTTACTGTACAGGGTGGTCGAAATTGGTCTGTTTTAACAGAGAAAACCTATTTCCTGACTAGATAGAGCAAAACCGACATAGATGTCATGGGCTCGATTTCTGAGACACGTTTAATGGCGTAAACCGCCTGTTGATATTTTCACTGCTGACTGAGATACGGGGTCTTTTTTAATTTTTTACCATTTGGAAAATTGCCCATAACTTTTGTATTTCGCGGAATAATAAAATTCTGTAAAAACGTTCTTAAGGCACTCTTTTAAACACAATCCAGTGGCGTAGTCAGTTTTTTTCTATACATGCTGTTTTTGTCAGAAATAATAAAAAATATATTTTTTGAAATGGAAATCATAGTTGGCTATGAATTTCAAAAAATTCGGGCGTTTAACCATTTCCAACGATATAAAGTTATGTGTATTTATTTCTAAAAATAAGAGAAATATTACGTTTTTTTATCTTTGTATCAAAGCGGGCCTTGATTTTGTGGTGACCTATAGTTGCCTAATTATTTTTTATCACAATATAAAATTCTATAATATTATTATTTATCTGCATAATTAAAGGCTTTTGAAAAAGTAAATCAACATTATATATTAGTATTACCATTTACAATTAAAACGCCAGGGTTACAACGTTACATCTTGGCCCCCATATCTAGGCCTACTAGGGCCTGTAATTTAATTCATTTCAACTTTTTTATGGGGCAAATTAAAAGACCTTATCTATAAGGGAAGAACCATTGGGACGAGAGAAGAATTGCAGAAGATTACTAGGCAAGCTTTTGGACTTATTACACTAGTTCGCATAACAAATCATTGTAACTCTGTGCGCAAAAGATGTTTATAGTGTATTGAACAAGGAGGTGCTCAGTTTGAACATATTTGATGATTTTTTTTAGAAAACTATATTCGCCACACAAAAAATAATTTTTTTTAGTCTTGTTCTTTGTTTATTGTATCGATTCCAATTGTAATTACTAATACTAATATAGAATGTTAATTTACCTTTCCAAAAGTCTTTAATTATGCAGATAAATAATAATATTGAATATTAAATTGTGATAAAAAATAATTAGGCACATAAGTCAACACAAAATCAAAGCCTGCTTCGATATAAAGATGAAAAACCTAATATTTCTCTCATTCTTAGAAATAAATACCCCTAACTTTATATCGTTGAAAAGAGTTAAACGCCAGCATATTTTTAAGTTCATAGCCAACTATGATTTCCATTTAAAAATTTATATTTTTCATTATTTGTGATGAAAAGATCAAGCATAGAAAAAAACTGACTACGTCACTGGACTGTGCTTAAAAGAATTTTATTATTCCGCAAAATAAAAAAGTTATGGGCAATTTTTAAAATAGTAAAAAATTCAAAAAGACCCCGTATCTCAGTTGGCAGTGAAAATATCAACAGGCGGTTTACGCCATTGTCGTGTCTCAGAAATCGAGCCCATGACATCTTTGTCGGTTTTGCTCTATCTAGTCAGGAAATAGGTTTTCTCTGTTAAAACAGACCAATTTCGATCACCCTGTACAAGTCAAACGTTAACAACGTTATCTCAACTGTAAATCAAGAACAAGTGAAACTGTTAGAACAAGATCCTTCTCTCGAAGAAATTCACCTCCTTGTTTACTGCGGTGCTAGAGCTGTCATTGAATGTAATGGACGAAAAATATATACTAGTAGTAGTATATCGTGTCATTCACGACTATCTTGACAGTCTTAAGCAGCAATTAGCTGCATTAACCAAACGATTAAAGTGATACACGGAAAGCCACAAGCGCAAAACAGACAACAAACGCTTCAGACAAAGTGAGAGACAATTTTATAGGGATCTTAATAAAAGTAAAAAGCCCGAGCCTTGAAATGCTCCCGCCGTGGAGCAATACAACAATTCTGGACTGGTATATGGGGTGTGGATACAAAACATAACGATCATCAAGCATGGATTGCGGAGGAGACGAGAAAGTACGAAAACAAGAAAATGAATCCAGTAACTTTTTCAGAAGAGGACATTCGAGATATCTTTAGCACACTTGCAAACTGGAGAATCCCAAGACTGGATGGTGTACATAATTTCTGGTTTAAAAAGTTTTCATCGCTTCACGAATATATGGCAACGTGTTTCAACAACATCCTCAAAAACCAGAAACAATGCCAAAATTTATGGCCAGAGTTCATATTATCAGGATATAATCCAGGAGCAAGAAAACAATAATTAGTTGTCGGTTTTTGTAAAGCTTTTGTAAAATAGCATTAAATAGAGTTATAACGTATTCAAAAAGATATATTTTTTGCCTTTTGTTACCTTCATCGATTCAAAAATGTATTTTTTTAATGATGTTGTGAATGAAGGAGGTAACTTTTTTTTGTATATTTTTTTTGAAAAATTGTAAGTTATGTTTATGTGTAAGCGAATAAATGCTAAAATTTAATAAAATGCTATTTTTTTTCTTTGTTAGGCAAATTTGTATAACTGTAAACATAACTTCTGACAAGCAGTGTCCGTTTAGGTTTAACGCAGAAGTTTTTACAAAAAATAACCATTTTTTATTTTGTAGATTTTCTTGCAGTGCAGTGGCGAAATACCCATAAAAGATTTTTTTTGGAGAGATGACTCCTCCACATAGGTATAGACATTTTTTATTTTTATTTTCTGTAGGCAAAAAAAATTGACGTCGTTTTTCTCGGAAATATGTTTTTGCTACTTACCTCCTTTATCCACTCGACCCTTCAATTCCATTATTCTACCCGAGCAGTTGGAAAATCTCACAACACTTGAGGAAATACAGAAAATCCTGTATTTAGAGGCTTTGTCAATTTGCAATGGAGCTAAAATATTAGAGGAATATATAAGCAACCACAAAAAAGCAACACCTAGGTGGCAAGAAAGATTAGAGCGACAGATATCAGACCTAAGAACAGCGCTAGCACAACTATTGGAACACCGAAAAGGAAAACCGAGTGTAAAACTAAAGAAGAAAATCAAGAAGATAAAGGAGACATACAGATATCACTCAAGGCATGAACTATTAAATGAAAATATAGAAGAAACCATCAGCACAATCAAGCAGAAAATAGTGGCATATTCAAAAAGATTAACGAGATATAAGAAGAGCAACGATAGAAAATCTCACAAGGCCAGATTCCTCGCTAACCAAAAACAATTCTACAGCACCATTGCCAATAAACAAAATGAAAAAACAACCCATCGGATGTATAGAAGAGTTTTGGAAAGACATATGCTCGGTCTCAAAAAATCACAATGACAAAGCAGATTGTATCAGTACAATCGAAAAACCAAATGCAGGAATACCACAGATGACAACCAACCAAATCACAACAGATGTAGTGATAGCCCAACTAAGCAAAACCCATAATTGGAAAGCCCCTGGACCAGACCACATCTACAACATCTAGATTAAGAAGTTCACCACCTTACACCCAAAACTAGTGAAAATCATAAACAAAGTGGTCGGAGACCCAACACTATTAGACGAAAAAATATGCGAAGGAACAACATATCTGTTAGCTAAATCCAATGATACTCAAAACCCGTCCCAGTACAGGCCGATCACCTGCTTAAACACAATCTACAAGCTAATCACTAGGTGCATTAACCAAATACTAAGTGAACATTGCATACAAATATACTATAAAAGTAACTATTAAATTCTATAAAAATAAATAATAATTCTAAACTATAAAAATTAAACTAATAGGTATATAAAAATAA